ATGTACATCCAAATTACATGCTAATTAAATTAGAATCAAATCGTTCTAAATCGAAATCAAATGAGGTAGCGAGCATTAATCAATGACAACATAAATAGAGTTTCCTTCGGGGATATTTATTGCAACGATCCAAGAGGGAATCTGAGCTGAAAAGTCACCTGTTTATTCACCTTTCAATTAGTAATAATTTATTCTCCTTTACCGTCTAAATTCTGGCGCTGTCGGCGGAATCCCTCCCTCCTTTGCCAGGCTCTACGGAGAATTAAACGGTAGGCGCCCTTTCTGCCTCCAAGCACCGCTCTAAAATCGGTGAACATGTAGTCCGCAAAAGGCAGCCTCCTCTCGAAGGACCTGCGAACAAAGGTGTGTGCTTGCGGCTCCGATTTGGCTGGCTTTGGAATCTGGTTTGGACGGGGACAATCCTCGCTGCTTTTCCAGCGTCGCTCATCCTTCAGCAAACATCACCCAGAGCACAGAAGAGCCAGGAATTCTTTCCCTGCCTTTCCATAATCGTGAGAACAGGGATTTGAGGTGTTACCCTCCGAGAGAGCGATAATTAATTTGAATGTTTTAAAGGTAAAAGAAAAATAGCAGGTGTCTAAATGAGAGCTCCCTGATTTGCCCTGCAACTACTTCTTGAAGTTCCTAGCATAACCAGGAAGAAACAACCCTGACCCCTAAAATGCAATTGCCAGCAGCCATGGCTTGTAAACTGCCTGGGGTTGCCCATGACAAAATGGGCAGCATATAAGTTTAATAAATACATAAATGGAAAGAAGCTGGTCTAAGCGGTATGCAGGATTCCAAGAGTCAAAATGTTTTGAAGTGTGGACTAAAACTTTAAATGCCCTCTGCCCCCCTCCCCCCCAAATGTACATTCAAGTTATCTCATTTCTGGTTCTTAATAAGGTATATGCACTGTCTCAAGGTCCTTATTCCAGAATAACCAAAAGGTATTGATCTATCAAGATGCACAAGGCTCTAGTTTAACTAGAAGCCCAATATGTTTTCTAGAAGCACACGTAGTATGTTGAGTCAGAAGATTTGATAAATCTATCCTGGGGAAATTTTCCAACCTTGTGCCTTTTTAGATGTGCAGTAGAATTTCTGTTCTGAATACCTCCAGGTTAGGGAGATACTGGCATTCCCAAACACCTTCAACTAACCCTCAAGTTGGGGACTGAGGAAGTTGCTTTAGAAGACTTCAGGGTTAGCCTCGTGAATCTAACCTGTATGTACAGAGTGCAATGTTTCTCCTAATTAAGAAAACTGGGTCAATGAAGACAATCATACATAAAATAAAGAAGATAAAACATGTCTAGGAAAACAATATCTTGGGGGTGGGGGTGAACGTGTCTGGGTCTCAGCACATAATCCCAAGCCTTAGACTGAGACAAGAACCATCTAGCAATTATTTTCTGCAGAAAAAAAAGATAAGTTTGTGGAACATCCTTTTGTCTCAGATTTGTATATTTAGGAGATGCTATCATGGACTCTTTTTTAAAAAAGTTAGGCGCAGAAAGTTATTACTGCAGGTTGTTCTGTTTTCCCACGAGCACTCTGTGGGTAGAGATCTGCTAAAAAATGTACCATGCACCACTTTCATCTTGTGGTTAGAAACGTGTACCTTTTAAACAAATTCTAATCGAGATGCTTGTGCACATTTGTAAACCAACAGCACCCCCTACAGGGTTTAATTTGATATTGTCAAGTTAACATAGCTCGATGCAATTTACCACTTTTGTGTCCATTTTCTTTTTCCTTCTTTTTTCCACAATTGTCTACAGCTGATTTTAAAAACAAAAAACAAAATACTTGCAATTACAATGTTAGCATTGCAAATAAATATCAGAAATTAGAATGTAGACTCTGGAAGTTCAGTGACCTGTATCATCCATCACTACCAGCTCACCTCTTTCATAAGATAAGTTCTGTTACAGTACTACTCTAAATCACCCTTTTCTACTGCTGCAATCTTTTATCTTTAAAAATAAAGTCTTTGCACACTTAAATCTCTTTTGATGTACTCTTCCAAACAATCTTCCAAAGTTTCTCAATATGAAGAATATTAACCTTGCAAAGTGTGCTTAAAATATCTATCTTTCAGGGTGTCCACTTTGTAAAAAAAAAAAAAAAAAAACCTACTTAGAGGATGCGAATGTTTGCTGCTTTGCACTGGAGGGAATCTTGGAAAGTAATCGGGCAAATACAAGAATGTCAGCCATTCCTTGTTTAGCGTAAGATCCTCAGTCATAGAAAGCAAAAGTTACCTGTACACTGGGCGTTATCTGTGGTCTAGTTTCTGTTTGAGAGAAGTACCCAGTTTAGTGAATGAAGGAGAGTGCTGAATGGCAGAGTCAAGGCTTTCCAATCAACAGGAGCACAAAATTATAGGCACACACTTCACCCACATCTCTCTAAAACTGACCTAACAGTAACCAAGAACAGAACACAAGAGAAATGCTTGCTAAGAAGAGAGGGACCAATACACTTAATCCTGTGTGAGAGAAATGTAACAACAGCATCTGGGTGGCATGTTGCCAGTGCAGACAAGGCTGAATCAAAAATCCCTTTTCTACCTACTACACTCCCCCCCCCCTCAAAATGCTGCAGGGCTGGAAGAGGAAAAAAAGGAGGTTGCTCTTTGCAAAGAAAAAGAAATAAGATGCCTGGCACTACTTGTCTATTATTCCAGAAGCCTTTTCAAAGTGGGGTCACACATTTTTCCTGGGCTGAAACAACAGGTTTTGCTGAACAATGATTCCCCCTCTCTCCTATGTTCTCAAATACACAAGCCAGAAAAATAAGCCATGGAGTTTTCCTTTTAAATTCTTACCCTTTTGTGTCAGCTTAGAAACAAACAAACAAAAATACTGCAGAATTGTGGGAAAAAAGTATTCAGGTACAGAAGAGCTGACTGTCTGGAATCTTGCAGCATCTCTTTATATTGTCGATGTCAGTCAAGAGAGATGAAGCATGTAGCCAACAAGTGCTGGAGCTGCTCCCCCACGCCTAAGCTTAAAATCAACACACTGCATCTAAGCAATATTACTAATGGTACAGTTCACGCAAAAAACAATAACAAAAATGTTCTTGATGAATATAACTGTGGGAAATGCTTCCCCTTTTATAGTTGGTTCAAAGTCAACAGAAGTTTAGACTGGATTTGGCATTATTCCCCCTATTGAGTCCTTCCCAAGGATCTGGGATAGGCTGATGTTGTTTTAAAATATTAAAGGTATCATGACAGGTATAAGTTCTTCCACATACTGCTGCCTTTTGCAATTGACCGATGATGATTTATGTCAATGCCGATGGTGTTCAAGTGATTGCTTTAGATGTTTTGAGATTGCACCCAAGGGACCTATTATTATTATTGGTGCTACCTTTGCTTTCTTTTGCCACAGTCATTCTATTTGAAAGTTTCTGCATTTTATTTTCTCCAGTTTTTTGCTCCTCTTCTGCTGTCTCCAGGTATTGCAATGTCTACTATCTAGACTTTTTTTTTATCTTATGCTAAATAAATAATAAATGTTTTTCTATCAACTGTTAAGTATGGAGTGTTATGTGGTAGGTGCCAGTCTGTTTGAATTCTAAAGTCTTAGAGCACTTTAGCTTCTTCATTCTCGATCATTTTGTCTATTTTGTAGTCCCACCAGTTCTTGCTTGAAGGCAATTTTGCAGATATTCCAAATGCCCATTTGTTGGTATTTTGACATGCTGTTTGTAGTCAGTCAATGAAATCTTCTTGTACCAGCTAAGCGGCCCACTGTTTCTTCAGCTTCTTTGCAGAGGCACTATTTGCTGTCTGATGTTAATTTCTCAATTCTGGTTTTATATGCATTTGCTCATAAGATTTGGTTTACTGCAGCCAGTGTTAGCTCCTTTCTTTTTTCAACTTTCCAGCTCTTAGCCATGAGTCTTATTGTTTTCTGGTTTGCCTGCTAGGTCTTTTTTGGGGGTGGGTGGGGGCATTAGACATGTAATACTATGCTTTGCCATGTCTCTTCTATTTTTCATTTGGTGTTTCTTGTAGGCCAGGTTGATCTCTTCTATAGTCAGAAAGCCTTCACAATATATTAATTTCAGTGCATTTTCTTCACTGTCCTTCAGATATTCTTCCAATACCCTTTTTTCGTCTTCAACTCTCTGGTGTATTTATGCAACGTTCCACATCCATCTACTTTCCTTTTTAAGTAGAGTCTGTCAACATTGCTCTGTGGATGAAGAAGGGCATGATTCAGTCATGCTTTTTCTTGTCTTCCTATCCAGGGCTTTTAGTTCTGTTTGAGTCCAATACACTATTCCAGCTATGCATCTAATGACTGGAATTACTTTGATGTTAATTACCTTTGATGGTATTTCCTCTACTGAATTTGGACTAAGATCAAGCTTCTTCAGTGTGCTTGACGTTGGCAGCTTGAACAATCCCAGGTATTTGTAGTGGTCTTCTTCATCCAGACTCTTGATGTTATTTCCATAGGGCATCTTGATTTCTTCAGTTTTCACTATTTTTCCTCTGTAGATGATGAGGGTGGCACATTTTCCAATCCAAACTCCTTTGCAATATCTTGGCTGTATAGATGACTGGAATTGAGAAGTGATTTTTTTTTCAGGTGGCGTTTGTCCAAAGAGCTTCAAGTTGTTTATGTAAAGAAGGTGTGACAGCCTGGAAGATGTTTTTGATGTCTGATAGCCCTGGCCTGACTTCTTCAATATTGTTGACAAAGGAGTCAATGCAGTAACAAACAGTAGTGATGATACAGTAGTGCGTTTCGTTGAAAGATCCTCTCTTGATATTAACTTCTACTATTATTATTTTAAACTAAAGTGACAGATCTTTTCATCCTTACTGGGGTAGACTCGATATGTATTTTATCATTCAGAAACATTATATACAAGAAATAACTGCCCAATTTCACCACTAGCCCCAATTAAACATGGAAGTCAGGGAAGTCAAGGATTTTAATTTTCAAGTAAGAGGAGAAAACAGCACTATCTAGTTTATATATTATTTTTATTGATAATCAGGCCAAAGAATGTATTTTCATTCTGTGAAAATGTCACCACTTTATTACTTTGCATTCAAAGGCCACAGAGTTTAATTGTATAAGTTTTATTATAAAACTTACGATGAAAGGTAAAGATGTAACATACATCAGAGCTCAGCTTTGCAAAGTGAGTCACATTTCATTTTTATGCAAAAATCTCAGCATGGCAATGCAAAACAGTACAGAAAAACAAGCATTGATAAATAAGATTTAAACTATAGCAAGACAGCAAAATTGCTCAGTGTCTCACTAATGAGGACTGCCAAATCCTTCAAATCTTAACAATAACGATCTGCAGTTTAATAAGGTAGGGCTGGAATGGACGTTATATTTCTGTAGCATACAACACTTAGAAATTCTTAACACAAAAAATATTTTTCTCAAGTGGTGCAAAATAACTGACACTGTGATGCCAATGGGAGTTCACACATTTAGATGGTTGTGATGAAGATATACTTTCACAAGGACAAAACATATTTGCCTATGTTGAAGAATGCTGCTCTGCTGCTTCAACTTAGGAAACCATCCTCAAAAAAGAACCTAAAAGTTCAGATCGAAATAATCCAGTTTTTATGCCTCTTAACAGGAATTTTATTCCAAACCACATTAAATGCAAACAAAATAATTCCATGTCTCTGGAACAGCTTCTTTTGTTTCTTGCAAGGCCCGTCTAGATATATTATCTAAAGAAAGAAACATGCTATTGTTGAAACTCCAGTACCGAGTCCTTTTCCTGCACGCTGATCTCAATGGTGAAAGAAAGCTGGATGCACCAAATAACTTTTCTTCCCACTCCCTTCCACCTCCGCAATGAAATAATTTCAACGGAAAAACCTGGTTTGTGTTTATTTACTTGTTACATGATAGATACAACGTAAGTATGCAAGAATGCTTGAAGTGCGAAGCTGAGATTTTTCTGAGAGCTTATGAGACCTAGAAGGGCACAGCAGGAGCCCTTCCCAAGAGCTGTTGAAAAAAGGAAGGAAGGAAGGAAGGAAGGAAGGAAGGAAGGGAAGGGAAGGAAAGGAAGGAAGGAAGGAAGGAAGGAAGGAAGGAAGGAAGGAAGGAAGGAAGGAAGGAAGGAAGGAAGGAAGGAAAGGAAAGGAAGGAAAGAGAGAGAAAGAAAGAAAGAAAGAAAGAAAGAAAGAAAGAAAGAAAGAAAGAAAGAAAGAGAAAGAGAGAGAGAGAGAAAGAAAGAAAGAAAGAAAGAATGAAAGAAAGAAAGAGAAAGAAAGAAAGAAAGAAAGAAAGAAAGAAAGAAAGAAAGAAAGAAAGAAAGAAAGAAAAACACGTGCCACCCACTTTCTCTATTTTCCCCTCTCTTTGCTTCTTTCTCGGTGCTCCCTCTTGCTGTATTCATCCGGGTGGCTCTCTTTACGCTTCCTTTGCTCTCTGCTTACCTCTGAAGTGTGGCTTTTTACTTCCTTACTCTTGTCTGGTTCCTCACTTCGACTGGAAGCCCGCTGCCTTGAATGGGAGCTTTGCCTGCTCCTCTCCCCCTTGTTGTGGCTCCTGCTTGCGTGTCCGGGTCGTTCTGATTCTTTCCACCCCTCTGGGTTTTCCTTTCTGCCTGTGGCGTTCCTTTTGCTCTCCCCGGAGCCCCGTTTGTTGCTCTCCCAAGAGCGATCTTCCTCCTTTAAAAGCTGAGGCTTCTCCCTCCCTTTGTCCTTGTTATCCTGGCTGCTGGAGGGATCTTTGCAAAGTTTTTTCTTCCCCCTCCTCTCCTCATCAGAATCACTGCTGTCACTCTCTGCAAGCCGGCTTCTCCTTTTTTTCTGAGAGTCTATTTTTCTGCGAGGGTCTTTGCCTTTGCTGCTGCTGCTCTCACTATCGCTGCTGCTCGCTGAAGATTGGCTGGAGGATGTGGGAGAGGACCTGCTCTTGTGTTTTCTGTGCTTACTTTTACTTTTTCGCTTCTGCTGCTTTTTCTTCTTTTTGTCTTTCTTCTTCTTCTTTTTCTTCTTCTCTAGGTTATCTAGTTTTCTTTGATTTTGAACACAGAAAAAACGAGCCATGAAACAGAGTGGCATAACAGGGCAATCCTTTTTTTTTTTTTTTTTTAAATGTCAGCAAATAAACCCTACACCACCAATGATGGAGAACCTTTTTGTTGTGCTAGGACGAAAGCGTGCGCGCACCGGCACCCACAATGCAATGCCCCCCCGCCACCCCCTGCACATGTGCGGGGGCAACACCCCGCCTCCTTACCTGCACTGCGCATGTGCATGCCTCCCAGCTGACTTTCGGCCTGTTTGAGCCTGTTTTCGCCCTCCCGGAGGCTCGAGGGAAGCCTCTGGAGGCTGAAAATGGGCCCGTTTTGGCACTTCCAGGAAGGCCCGTTTTTCAGCCTCCCAAGGCTGCAGAGGCTCCCCTTGAGCCTCCGGGAGGGCGAAAACGGCCTCACACGGGCCGAAAATCACCTGGGAGGCGTGCACATGTGCAGTGCAGGCAAGTTTGGCTGGGGCTCACGTGCCTGCACAAATGGCTCTGCGTGCCACCTGTGCCACGCATGCCATAGGTTCGTCATCATGGCCCTATGTATTTTAAAAAAGAATCAGTCCCCAAACTTGCATCTCGACTCTTTTAAAGCCACCCTTGATATTGTATATCCTGATTTAATCAATGCGTTTATCATCTTTTTTTTCTAAAAAAAAAAAAAAAAAGGCTTAGCGCAAAACTGGCACTAAAATGTTCAGACACCAACAATTATGTCTCCACTCCAGTCACAGAATTCAAAAGAAGCATGATTTTATAGCAGAGGTCTCCAAACTTGGCAACTTCAGGACTTGTGGACTTCAAACTCTTTTTAGGTGGCTGGAGAATTCTGGGAGTTGAAGTCCACACATCTTAAAATTGCAAAGTTTGGGGAACCCCTGTTTTATAGCATGACTGCTATAAAAGCAGAGCACTACAGGTAGTCCTCAGCTTACAACTGTTAGTGACCATTCAAAGTTACAACGGCACTGAAAAATGTGAACTATGACTGTTTTTCGTAGTAACCTTTGTAGCATCCCCAGGATCGTGTGATCGAAATTCAGATGCTTGGCAACCGTTTCCTATTTATGACGGTTGCGTTGTCCCAGGGTCATGTGATCACTTTTGGGGACCTTCTGGGAAGCAAAGTCAATGGGGAAGCCACATTCATTTAACAACCCTGTTAGTAACTTAGCAACCGCAGTGATTCACTTAACAACGGTGGCAAAGAAAGTCGTAAAATGGGGCAAAACTCACTTAAATAGAGATTGTGGGCTCAGTTGTGGTCGTAAGTCGAAGACTACCTGTATTATCCCAGTTTGACTAGGCAATGTGTAAACTGGAACAGGTTCATCAACATGAGACTCTCTACCTGCAGAGGTCTCAGCCAGATCCAGCAGCTACTGCTGTACATGTACTGTGTTTCACTGAAACTAAGACCCTGCCTTATATATATTTTTTTGCCACCAAAACAGGCACCAGGTCTTATTTTCGAGGGGAGGAATGTCCACTGACTCACCTCACTTGCACGCATCACCCCCAGTCTCCTTTTCGCTGTCAGAGGCCTTCAGGAACTTTTTCTGCGGCTGGGAAGGCTTTCCTGAAGGCCTCTGCAGCAGGTTACAGATCGATCTGGAGCTCTGTTATCGGCTGCAGAGGCCTTCAGAAAAGCCTTCGCAGCCTTGCCGGCTGCAGAAGAAATGGGCCGGCAAGGCAGGTGTCGGGGTGTGCGAGGCTGCTGCAACTGTTTGAAGGTAAGTAGTAGGGCAGCTCCATTCCTCAATCCCCACCCTACCTTAATTTTTATGCATGTACCCTGGAGTGGGCAGGGTCTTAATTAGGGCTTATTTTGGGCACACATGTAAACATCAAGCTAGGGCTTACTTTCGGGGTAGGACATATTTTTGGGGAACACTTAGAGAAACAACCACTAATAACCACTGGTGGAGGAAGCACTGCTTAGGGTGCCTTACTTCCTTCTCCCTGCCAAGGAGATAAAGATAATCCATCACACTTACATTGGAGTGCATATATTTATCATTTAAATCCTTAATTTCTCTGCCCCTATTCACTAGATATCTAGGTATTGAATCAGAGTAGTACAAACATAAAATATAAAACAAATGGGTCAATTATGTACAAGCTCTACTTTCCTAAAAGCCACTTTTATCACCTATGGTAAACTAAGACTGGGTTAATGTTGAATCCAGTTAAGAGCAAACGACGTATTTCCAAATGTTATTTTTTTGTTAAAAAATAATCCATTATCTTTCAGCTGCAGTATAGAATTACTCAATATAATTTATGTGTTTTCTCCTCATAACAAATTAGCATATAAAATAGTATTATAACGGGAACGGTTTAAGGATCACGCAATCGCATTCTGCAAATGCTAAGTATATAAAGATTCAAGAACACAGCAAAGCAAGAGGAAGGGATTTCAGAACCCCAATAACCCCCAGCTCTCAGCAAATCCCACTCAAATAAGCGATGAATGATAATAGACTTAAAATCATGGGAAAAGATAAGTCGTGATTAACTATTCTGCACAATTATTCTAGAATAAATAAAAGCACAGTTATTTAACTTCGAAATAACTCTTGTTAGTAGCCTCTACATCCTCATGATATGATTACCTCAAAAGTTTTTGTTTTTGCTTCGTTGTTAAGGATTTCAGAAATTCTACTTCTGGGTCGTCTTCTTCCTCGCTTGCAACATATTCCTAAAAAAGTGAGTGAGAGAGAGAGAGAAAGAGATTGCGAGAGATAGCTACAGAACATGGCCGGAAGGGAAAGTATGGAGATTACAGAATATAAATAATATATTTTTAAAGACAGTTGAATAAATATTGTTTTGAGAGGCAGAACATATAACGCTGTGACAAAGAAAAGAACGCCAAGGTAACGCACAAGGAATAGGGTCAACTGGCTGGCTTAGTTAAGGGGATAAGTTCCTTTCAGCCACATCTCCCCATTCCCCCTTTTAAACCCCCTTTTACCCAACTGGAGAAGTTCAAGGCTGAAGTGCGTTAATCTGCAACCATAACATTACAGGTAGTCCTCAACTTACAACCACAATTGAGCCCAAAACTGCTGTTACTAAGCAAGATAGTTGTTAAGTGAGTTTGCCTCCACGATTATGGGGATTCTACAACTCTCCTAAGTGTGAAAGATGTTCACAAATCACTTTTTTCAGTGCCGTTATAATTTCGAACGGTCACTATACGAACTGTTGTAAGTCAAGATCAACCTGTACTTTGTCCCCATATGTAGTGCAGTTTAAAGGGAGCCTAGGACCCAGCAGAGGCTTTTCCCCCCAGAATTCCCAGCCTGAATAGCCGATTTGGAGGACATTAGAAACACCACGTTTAAATAGTATCACCCGACAATCCCATCTTGTGCTATGGAACTCGTATAAGACACTACAAAAAGAAGCTGAACCTTAAGGACACAAGGCATCTAGAAACTTGTATGAGGGGCCACCGGTACTCTCTGAGTGTTTGTTTTCTTGCAAACGTTTCGTTACCCAAACTAGGTAACATCATCAGTGCTAGTAAGGAGTGTGATTTGCTGTCAGTTTGTAGGCTTGCCCTGTGGGTATGTTAGGGGTGGTCTTAAGAGATTCTTCGGTGGGCTGTTTACTGTTGGCTTCTTTGGCAGTTTCTTGATTGGGGTATTGTTTACTCTTGATTGTTGGTCTGATGTAAATCTTGGAGTTAATCTATGCTGATCTGGATTTTGATTGCTGGTGGGTCTTTTCGTTCCCTTTTCAGCTGGTTGATTGTCTCTTTTGCATAGTCTATAGATGCTGCTAATGTCTATGTGTCTATTGATGGCTAATTTGTCAGAGTGCCAGGCTTCTAGAAATTCCCTGGCATTTGGGGGATTGGGCAGCCCTCCTTCCTAGCACTGATGATGTTACCTAGTTTGGGTAATGAAACATCTGCAAGAAAATAACCAAGCTCAGAGAGCACCAGGGACCCCTCATTCCAACCCTGAGCTACAAATATTCTCCTCTATTAGAAACGTATACCTTGCTATTAAAATGCTCCTTTTTATGAGAAAGGTCTCTGATCGATAATTGCAGCATCACGTTCTTTTGTCCGATGGTGGTTTAACTTAGTGAGGTAAAATCCAAGAAGCAGGACAACGACAAAAGAAATGGCAGTATAACTCTGGTGACATATTCCCATCTCTGATGAGCAAGGGTTTACCCTACATTTGTCAAGCTTCCCTTCTGGTCGCCATGCAGAGAGAAATGATACAATCTCCAGCAACACACAGGGCAGTATTCAGAATTGCACCTCCAAAGTATGGCATCCCCTGGACGGCACTGTCATTATTTTTCACCCAGGGATAGAGTTAGATGAAGCAGCTGCCATCATAAGCAAGGAAAGAAAAGTCAAAGCCATTTCCTCTGGTAGATAATAAATCTCTACTAACCTGCAGGAGGCTTTTCATTTATTAAACTATGGATTGGACAAATTCTAGGCTATCATTCCAGCTAACAAAAAAAGTGGGAAAGCGGACTGCATTTGAAGAGACACCGAGCTTTCTCTACCTATCTGGCGTTCCTACGGTTATGCATATTACAAAAACATGAAGCAACAATTCACAACCAATCACATTTAGATTTACACACATTTTCAGCTTACTGATAAAAAGATCATTACCTGGGATGGATCATTTGCGGTCAAGTTTCTCCCCAGTACATTTTGTTTCAGTGCAAACCCACTGTTTCTCATCTCCGCTATTAGCTCTGAGGGGTGCATCGATGGCCCTGTTCACCAAAATCACAGTTTGAATGTATCATTTATATCTCTCTACCTTTTTTGGGCTACACAGTGGGAAATTCAGTGGAAGCTTTGTTAAGTCAAATCATAGCTAAATCAACGCAATAATCTTCTGCTGAGCAAATAATCAGATACGATTTTCTAAAACAGCAGTCTGGAGATTCAGAATAGAAAATAATTGCATTTTTCTTTAAGTGCAAGGGGATTCTCTTCTTATGTAACTTTGTCACATTGAAAACAATATATTTTAGCTAACGTCTAGCTATAAGCATTTGATACAAGTACACAAATTGAACTACAACAAGCCAGCTTCCAAACTAAAACATTTTCTGACATCAAGAGTATGCATTAGAGTCGGTATTCACAAGCTGCATGTGTGCGTGTCTATGGTCCTGACCTACCAAAAAGAGAGTCACATTAAAAAAAATAATACAGCCTTCCCTATTACAATTCACTCTGGGCTCTGCTGTTCCTTTTCCAGTTCAAGCAGGAAGCCAAGTAGACAGTGTTTCTACAGTACAGCAGGCAGCTATAGGACTGTAAAGTCAAAGAACCCTTGGCGATACATAGATTCATTATTAGAAGTATGCAGATGTTTAATTTCGGCCCTAACCTTAATCCAATGAAATAATTTTATTTATGGTGTCAGACAAATTCATTTATCATGTTAGGGGATCAACACTGCTTTAGAGGAATTGCATCTAATCTCTATGTAGCAAATGTTAAATAGGTCAAGGCTGGGAGGTAACATGGGGAGGTCTCCATCCTTGCACTCTCATATAATTTGACTTAGCATAGGATAAACTGGGGCCAGCTTTTTCAGATTTCATGGCCCTCACCATGCTGAGTAGTTTTTGGCATGTTTTCTCAAGTTTCCATTCTAATTCACAGCCTAGTGTTTCCTAATGGTGTTAATGTAGTTCCGTCTTGCTTAGTTTTTTCCAAAATTATTCAAGGTCAGTCAGGTGTTGTTTACAACATGACGCCTGTAGTAAATGGTTTTTAGAGAACTTTTCAAAACATAAACACTAGATATGTTTTTTTAAATGTTAAAGATTTTAAAAAGCCTTAGTCTAGCATAAATCCTTGATGAAAACAGTTTGAAAAAATTAAAATACATCTTATACATGTAAACAGTAGGCATTTTAAGATTGATTTATTTTTTTTGCTTTTAAAATTTAGCTAGTGCTTCTAAGTTTAAGATTTACTCTGCTTTTAAGTTTATTTAAGGGCTTAAGGCCTACGTGTTTATGAAAGTGTCCAGAATTTGTTTGTTCTTATAACTGCCTCTGCTCCAAAACAATATGCATTTTTCGTTTCCTTTAACTAAAGAGATTTCCACGCACTGGCTTTATTTTCCTACATACTGTGCGAAGAAATTTTACTTTAATGAGATTAATGTTTTCTTAACCAACTTGTCTTATTTATCCTATGATTAGCACTGCAGACTCGATCTAAAGTGGTACCATTGTAAGTAGAAAAGCAATTCCTACATAAGAAATTCTGAATTTAATGTTCATTTTAATATATAAAATATTAAACATGTTACATTAATATTACAGCATGAAAGTTTGCTAAGAGTTAAGCATCTTATGGCTTGGTTATTTCACAGCAAGAATCGGGCTGATGCCGTTTTCTGGCTGTGAGGTTCTTAATTCACTGCATTGTTACTGTACACAACTATAAGCTTTGAGAAAGCTGACTGAGTTACAGTTAATCACCATGAAAAAGAGTTTATTGGGGGGAAATGGAGGAGGTATGTTTGTTTGGAGGGAAACACAGACAACATTGCCAAAAGTACCATATATAAGAATTATTAGCAGATTGTAAACTAGGTTTCAGGTCTGCGAAAGGAGAGAACATGAGAAAGAGACTCAAAATAAACCTGCCTTGCTGGGCATAAAAGCAGTCAGAGGAAAGTCTGACAGGTTTTCCAATTTATGTTATCTCTCAGTTTCACTAGTCCTTGTGGTGACCTCCTCTCAGGGCTGACCTCAATCTTGGGAGCTTCATTATTCTCTATTCGAACAGGCACTGAACTTTTACTTTTGGTTGTAGAGATGGCGTCAGATCGTCAGGACATTCCACTGTCTACAGCACATCTTGCTGATGTACTGTTACAATACAATAAACTGTGTGGCTGTAAAATTAACAGTCTTGCACAGTGTCATGACATATTTGAAGAGCAGACAAAGTTCGACAACCAACAGCCCAACCAGAACTTCTTCACTCCCATGGACCTTTGAAAGGAAAATTTGGAAGCCCGGGTTCAATTTCTGATTTTTACAACTCGGTGTGAATTGTTTAGGTCAGCCAGTAGAATTTCCTACAGATTACTCCATGTTGGGACTCATTTGTTCTGGGTCTGCCAAAAGACGGGGCCGCCTAGTGGTCTGTGCTTCTCAATGAAAGCAATGATCCATAATGAATCATTATCGGAACTTTATGCCAAGATTTAGAGCTGTATTTGATGATTCAGCTTGGAGATGAACCCCAACTGAGAGATCTATAAGCTGAACACAGAGTTTGTGAGAACATATTGGATTTTCACTTATCTCCAGAGAGGAGGTCTGGAATGATTGACCAGGTTTGAGAAGGACTGGATGAGATGAGAAATGAGTTAGCAAGTGAAGTCACACCAAGGAATTGGGAAGAACTGTTCCATATTGCATGTTAATTGATGCATGATTAGAAAACGGAGGCATGGAGGAAGGTTTTATAGTAAAGGGAGGTTTTACAGCCTTTCTTCACTCACTCTTTCTTTCTCACATCCTACTGTTGCTTCTTTGGATGTCAGCACTGGAAAGCTCATGCAAATAAAAACTTTCCTGTCCTTTGGCTGATGTTTCTCCTATATGCAGGTGCAGAACCAACAACCAAGACTTACTCAGTCCAACACCTGAGTCAGCTGTGGAATTACAGAGTAAGCAAGTGCCCAAATTACTCCAAAACCTAGCATTTGGGAAACTTCGTAGATTCCTCTCTCAAGACCTGGATGAACAAATAACCACATCTTTCATATCAGATTAGAGTGTAGCAACAACAGGGCTTGGATGAATGACAGCCACAGACGGAGGTTTCACCTCTTCTGTCAATGAAAAACAATGGCTTCAAAACAGCCATTTAAAATACTCCCCTTCTTTTACAGAATAAATACAACTGTGCCATAACAGACTACAGGGCCAGAGGTAGTGTTCAAAACTTTGTACTGGCCACTAGCTCAGAAAGTTCTGGTGGCCAAGAAGGAGAGAAAATGTCACAGAGTATTTCATCTTGTCCCGTCTGTTGCTGGGGAAAGGCTATTCCTTGTCCTAGTCCCCCCCACTTTAAAAGGGGTCATGCTTGCCGTATCTGTTTCCTGACTTGGTCTATTTTGATGGGTTGATCATTTGTTTGGAGAAAACATAGTGTGGGACAGAGCATTATAAGATTTATCAAACAAAGAACACTTGTTTGGCCAGGAAAAGATTTATTGTACATAAAGTATAGGAGGGGAAAAATCCAGCAGAAATTTAGGATAAAATTTGTAATTATATGAGCGTTTTGACAGGAGAGCCAGGGAACCTTTCTTTCTGGAGATCAGCAATGGTCAGTCATTTATTGTGGATGCTATAATTCTGAGTATCTGCAGAAATTATGATTCAAAGATTTCCTTAAAACCTTTATTTCGAAGATAATTGTAAATATTACATTTAATGCACCGGATTAGGATCTGGTTGGCTGGAGCCTTAAAGGAAAGAAGCAGTCATCACCGTGGCCTTCTGAATGAAGACTACTCACCCTTTTTTAAAAACCATATTAAAAATTACAAAAAAAAAATCTTCTTCCGGACAATGCAATTGTATGTGCCAAAAGTAGAATGTTTTGACTTGCTATAGAATAACTTCGACCAATTTCTCTTGCGTTGTATTATTTATTCTGGTTTTGCTAGCAACAATTCAGAACCCTGCTTGCTACTTTGCTAAATACTGGTATGTTTTTCAGCATTTTCACATTATTTTAAATGCTGTAAATTAACTTTTCTAGAATAATAGATAAACAGAGTGAATATATATCAGAGGGGGAAAATGAAGAGTTTGCTATCATACAGCAAGGTAGAAAAAAAAGATGTTCTAAAGATGCACAATATCTCAGTACCATTTTGCGCCGAGAAAGCATTGCAGATCCAATTTAAAGGTGAGGTCCTTAAAATGATTGATAGCACTTTCCATTCTAGTCCTCCAATCAGGGTGGCTGCTCTAGTCTACTCCTTGCATAAACATCAGTGTGTGCCTCCAAATGTTTCTGATCTCCAACTCCTATCTGCCCTACCCAGCAAAATGAAAAGTATGATAATCCAATGCATCCTTATTTTTAATTATTCCTGCTACTGGACATATTATAGCAAGAAAAACTGGAGTAAAAGTTTCCCTGGGGATAGGTGTGTATATCTGCTTAAAAACGCTGCTAGAAATAGTCAATTCGACTTCATTGTGTCCATATAATGTAAAACTAAGACTAAACTAGGACTTGTGGCAAATTCTAAGACAACTGCAACACTAATGCCCCCTCCTCCGTGGCATCGCTTAAGTTCTACTATTTTCAGATAAAGAGATGACATTGCATCTAACCTGCAATGTCAGTTTGGCTTCTGAAAGAATCAGCACTGTTTTTCCGGCATTTTTGTCATGGTTTGACAAGAGTAATAACTAACAGATACCAATATTTATTGGAAAGCAAATGGTTGCTTTCAATGAGGAAACTCTTGCCTAATTAATCACACATCATGCCAATGCCGTCCAGTACAAATAGAAAAGTAGAGCAAAAAGTTTTGCCTTTTTTATTACGAATGGTACAAGTTAATATCAGTATTTTTTAAAAAAAGAAAAAGAAAACAGCTTGGGGTAAAACAGCATTTTGATTGCCTAATTTAACTTTATAAAGGATGTAGTAAATCTTATAGTGGGTCTCGATAAACTGCACAGCTGGAACATTCTCTCACTGCTATGTGGTTTCCAATGATCAAAGTAAGTTACTTTATATGTCAGACTAAGATTTCATAATGGAAATAAATGCATCATCCGGGGGGGGGGGGGGGGGGAGGAAAGTGGTGTTTAAAAAATAACAGTCCGCGCAGACTACAGCCAAGGCTGTACCCCAGGGGTGTGATTATCCCATGATAACCACATCCAGTGAAATTGCCTTATTGCAAAAATAATCTCCATTCACCAGCAAGATATATTATTCAATAGGAGACTTTTGAAAGTGGAAAGATTATATTTTTAAAAGTCTGAATCGACAGATGGATTAGCATTACAGTTGAGGAATAAGGAGGGGAAAAAATCCTATCTCAAATAGAGTGCTATTTCTTTTGATTACTTGATATGGAGTGGTTTTGCTTTTAAAGTACTTTTAGAGAGTTCTTATTAGTTCCTTACAGACATTTTTTCAATAGTTTGGGTGGAATCATCCTGAAATCACTCTATCTGAAATATTACCATGGAATCAGTTGCCTGTTTGTAGATGGGATACAAACATGAGGTACAATTTGGTGGTTCTAATATTCATAGACAACTCCATGCAAAGACTGAACATGGGAAGGCTGACTGAATCACAGTGGCTGGAAAATTCATTAGCATACAAAAAGACTTTCTCTTCGCCTAAGATACCTGAAAGCATTTACAGAAGACCTTCGATTCGAATCCTGCGAAGTTAAGCACCCAATCGTTGCTGAACTCAATAAAACATAAATAAATAGAACTCAACATTATTTGACAAAAACTGACTGAAATTCGTTTTAGACACTTACCTGAGCCATCACTGGAAACGGAGCTTGCATTAATTCCAGAAAGGCCAAATAAAGGACATTCCCGGTCTGTGTTGACATGGCCCCACTTGTGACATTTAATGCATCTCACATTCCTCACCTGAAAATGATTCGTATTGAGTTAATTTCACATTTCAAGGCGGTATGTTCTATCCCATTATATCCAAAGTAAAGTTTTCGTAATACAAGCCTAATGTTATTTATTGTACAATACTAAATACATGAAATCCATCCAAAATAGAAGGAAGGCAACGCATAAAACTTACCTGGATGCCAAATGGCTGGTCTCTAATGTTCATGTCATCCTTAGCATACCTGTTAAACACAAGAAAGATGCACACGTATATTATTTATGCATTACAAATCATTATAATTACTAATTACTGGGGATTCAAACAAGATAAAACATCAACATGATTTATAAATAAGATTCCCAGATTGCTGCTCCCTGGGGAAGCCTTAAAGAACAACTATTCCCTAACCTTTGAAATATCTATTCTCACCCTTTTTATTCAAGCGGCCACATTCACCATGTCAAGGCTAGGATGCTCGTGGATTTTTAATGATCTAAAATCGTGTTGCTTTCATTGTTTTTATTTGCCTTCCTGCTCTACTCATTATTCTTACTGTTTTAATAGAACACCACTGCTTCTTAGTTTTTATTGTTCTATTTTATGCGCCTCTTGCCTTTGCTCTTTTGTGGTTAAGCTGCTTCAGATTTAATGCAAATTTAAGTTGTATAAGACTTTGCATATTCTTCGGTTTGGGATGCTGCATCATTTCTCTTTTAAACAGAAAAATGATAGGCTGACATTTTGAATAAATATATACACAAGAAAGATATTAGCAAGATGGTTTCCTTGGATTTCATTGTTTTCTCCCTCCTGGTCACTTTCGGAAGAGGGAAATTTTTTATCAATATGGAACTTTGTTCTTACTTTTTGAATGTACTTATTATGTATCTGATGATGGAGTGAACTACTTGAAAATAACTCTGGCTTTCTCTTGCTATAGTCTTCATCTCCGCTAAATCTGGTTCAGAAGGTTGAGATGTATGTATTCTGAGACAGATTTGGGAACTCTAGACAGGCAAAGAGCAAGAGAAACTATGTAACATGAAGTCCTTGAGTAAAATGCTAGATATTATGTGAAAGTAATATCTAAGCACAGAATATGTACTTTACAGCATCAATAATATTATTGGCTAATTGTTGCCTTCCTTCCATTTATATCTTCCCAGTATTTTATTCTAAGATCTGATATGGTAATTCATGTATTCAGCTGATCTATTTCTGTGGGGAAAAAATACAAAAGATAATGTCTATTGAAAAGGCAGTGCCTCTGTTCATTTTGTAAAATGTACAGCTTGAGACAACAATCTTCTTGCTTAAAGAACGCATCCATGAAAACAGCTCTCAGAATACATTAGTCAAATTATAAAGCACTAAGTCTTACTTTTCACGTGGAGCTACCTTCTGCCATTCAAATTTGTAATCGGTTTCTCCCTCCTGCTAAACAACAATACATAAACTCAAGCTGTTATTTATATACACATTGAGATTTTGAAATATGAAAAAACATGACAAATTAAACATCGAAATTACCTCTTTGGTTTCTTCTTTGGTGATCATGATGAAATGGCAGGGAATAGGATAAGGCAGACCATTAGGTGAGACATACAGTAGGCAACCGGGATATCAAAAACATTCAGATCATGCAATTCACAGACCTCTGAAAAACACCTTATTTCATAAAGTCAATCTACTGAAATTTAGTTTTTGCTTTTTAATTATGCATAACCAAATGTGAGTTATAGATTTATGATAAAGACTGCAGTTTTATGTAATCATACTCAAGAAATTCACCATATGTAGACTTACTCTTCAGTATTCTGTTACTTATTTCAGGATATATTTTTTTTACAAAACCAAAAATACTATATAAGTACAAGAATATTTAATCCACTATTGCATGACCAATCTGCAAGAGTTCAAATTTGAACCAGAAGAAGCATTTCAGTTCTTTGCCTAAAATGACTCAAAGACTTAAGTCTTCTAGTGTATTTGACAAGAACACAGGATCCTCTCCAACTTCCTATATAGCATCTATAGCAGGGATGTCAAACTTGAGGCCCGCAGCCAGATGCATCACGCACTGGCCACGCCCACCCCTGGTTTAGTGAAGGGGGGAAAGTCGCGATACGTCACGTGACGACATGGTGTCGTGAGTTTGACACCCCTGATCTATAGCCTTTTTTTTCTTTTTTGCCATATGGGAGATTAAAAATTTCCCATCTCAGTATAAGGTGTCTTTCTTAGAGGCTCATACTCTGATTAGAGACTTTGACAATATCTGCATGACATTTAACAATAAGATGGATAATAAGTCCATTCCTAGAAAATGAACACTTCATTTGAATACAAGATGTACATTACTTCCAACTATGGCAAACTGCAGAATGTACTATTACCGTATTTTGTGGCAGACTGTTCCTAATTTTAAATCCTGTGGCCAGAAGTCACTTTACCGCAGGGGTGTAAGAGTGAATATGAACTGCATTGTTGATTAGAGGAGCAATTGTCAGTTCATAAATTTGCTTTCAGTTCTAGAAGTGGTAAGCTCTGCACATCACAATATTTTGATACCCATTTACAAAAAGCAAACAAAATAGGATATGAAATTCATGTTCATTACAACACAAGATCCCACTTCTGAAATCAACAATTGTGGGCATCACTGCAAACTTTTCATTTTGCTTAATACTGTTGGCTGTACTTTCTAATGGTCTCTCTTAAAGTTTGTAATATCATCTACTATAAAGAAACTTGTACCAAGTCAAACCATTGATCTCCTTAATGGAATGTTGCTATTCCACACCATTCAAACTGACACATCCTGATGTGTTAGATTTCAACTCCAAAAAGCCCTGGCCAGAATGGAAATTGAAGCTCCACATATCTGGATTACATTGGATGGCGTCAAACTTTCACAGGTGAAAGACATTAGGTCTTACCCAACTGCAACAGCTTTCCTGTGTTTGAGAGAGTGGTCTTTCTCACCCTTATCTGGGTACACCTGGAACTGAAATTGTCTGCTAGAAAAATATTTACTCCTCCATGTGTTAACTGTAATTCTCTAGTACTTCTCAGTTATAATTAAAATGGGGGGAAGATAATGATGAGCACAGGTGTACAAAGAATCTGCTGAAAAAATTTGTCACAGTTAAAACAAGATGATTAAGAACACTTTGATGAATGTTATAGTTACCATACAATTGTTAGTAAATATTATGTTAGTTACTAAACAACTAAAATTACCTTTTTTTGCTCCAGGTGGTGCTTCATACATAAAATTTAGACCATTCTTGACACGTTCATCTCCCATAAGCAATCTTTATAAACATATAATAAAATTATGATATATCACAAGATATATACATTGATTGAAAATATATTTTAAAATAAAGGTAGCATGTTTCCACCATAAGAGGTAGCTCATTTTTTTACAAGTAGAAACTTTAAATATCTGAGTACATAATAATAATTTTAGCTTAAGCAATAATTACTTTTTAAACCCTGGAGGTTCAGCTCCAAATGCATTCCTAGGCTTGACTTAACTTTTATTCCAAACATTTTAGATTGTCATGCACATTTTTAATGCACCAGTGGGGTAGAAAATGTTTTTCAAAAAAAAATTTGTGTTGAATTTAGGTTTAGTTTGTCGCCCAAGTGACTGCCTCTGAAGGCTCCTGGACTGGGGCTGAAAGGTGAAAGCGGAAGAAGTATGCTCCGTCCCTTAATTGGGTAGACCATGTTGCCCTGATAGACCAGTCTCACGGGGGGAAAAAACTATTTTTCAAAAAAGAATCCACATGTTGAATGCAATTTATAAAACACTGATATTCTCTGATCTTTCAGTCTGAGCAGCGCAGGTGATCTGAGACTAAATCCCAAGGAAGTGAGCCAAAGAAAGATTTGCAGACTGTAGAAAGTAGAAATTGCTTCATAGCACTGCTTCAATGACCCAGGACACATACACTCTATTGTGCAACCTATTCTATGGAACAGCATCTTCCATGGGATCTGGATGGCTCTCACCTTACTGGCCTTCCATAAAGCTTTAAAGACATAGCTTTTCCCTTCAGTTCTGGAGCTGGGATATCATATGAACCTAGCTGGTTTTTTTGTCTATTGATTGCATGATGGAATGGATTGTTTTGGATTTTGGGTACATTATATCTGACTGTTGGCTATAATTATTTTCAATCATATTGATTGTTATTTTGGAGTTTTTGTTGTCTTTCAGAGTCCCATTTTTGAGATGGATGGCCATATATATATTGATTAGATAAATAACATCTTTTTCAGAGATGCTTATAGCAAATAATACATTTCAATCATGTATTGAAATGTTATAAAACAAGCATGTATAATAAAGGCAACAACTAATAGCCACAAAGTTAAAGGATTATACTTTGATTATAGATTATCACCCAAGTGTAAAATAATGAGCCACATCTCACCTGTTATCATAAGATTCTTGCTCTTTAAGATATTGCTGCATTAATTCTTCTTGTTTCTTTCTGTCATAAGATATTTTCTGTTCTGCCATCCATACCTAGTTAGAACAAATTGATTTTGTAAAAAAATAAATAAATCCATTCCTGAAAAAATTCCTCCTTTTTCTTTCTTGAATTTCATATTACATCCACACTGCTCTAAAATTCTGTAATTTTAACTATTACTAAAAAAAATATCCAGGTGTTCTTGAAAGACTCCAGTAAGAAATGATGGGCCTTTTAACAGAAATATTTAATATAGAAGTTACCTTTCTTACTAGAAATTGAAAGGGAACTCCTGCTCACTATGCTCCATGGGACTACTATCACTATGATCCATGGAACATTTCATAATAGTTTGCCTCTTATGGATATTAACATCTCTGTAAAAGTTAAGAGACAATTTGACAGAAGCAAAACATATACCTTGTTTCTCCAACAATACGGCCTCCCCCAATAGGAAGTCCCAGCATGTTTTATAGGCATGAAATGAAATTAAGCCTCTCCCCCCAAATTAAGGCCTATATTAAAACATGCAAAATGGGGGGGGGATGGCGGGGGGGGGCTTGCTGTTAGGAAGTACTTTTGTTGCACACCCGGATATGGTGCTGCCTGCATTGACCCTGATACAAAGTGCCCCACCAACGCCGAGGTCAACATCCAAGCCGTCGCCACCCGCCCTAAGATGCAAGGGGGGGGGGGAAATTAAGTCACCCCCAAAAAGACAGCCTAGCCGTTTTTTCGGGGCTCAAAAAAAAAAATAAGACCCGGCCTTATTATATGAGAAACACGGTATTCAATGACAACCTATACAATTGAGTCTCTATGGCACTCCTTTGCTTGAGGGTTGGTAAGAAAACACCCCTAAAGGTAGCTGAACCAATGGATTTGTTCATCAACCTCTTGGAAGAAAAGGACATTTGAAATGAAGCAAACTAATAACTGATGAAATAGGCAATTGACACACTTAAAAAACCAGGAAGATGGGATTTTACAGATTCCGATAAATCAACGGAAATAGCCTTGATATTAACATTGCCTCTATAAAATGATATCTATATTATTAATAATTAATAATTTATATTATTAGTAATCTACTTAAGCATGTAAATAATTGTGAACAGTTTGTGACTAAATGTGAAGTACTCTTTTTACAATACAGGTAAATTACAGGAGAAACTTCTATGATCAGAAAGCTCATCAGGAATGGTCTAATACCTTTTGCTGTTTTGTTTGATGGACAAGACCCCTCCCCTTTTTTCACTGGAAATTTGACTTTGGAAGTTCCATGCTATATCAACATCTGCTGATTGCTTATTTGAGAACAAAAAACACAACTTCACTGAGTTCAGTGAGGCTCATTTCCAGATAAGGATTGTTGCCTAAAAAGCTGCATTAATATAAATACTCAATAACAAACCCGGCAATTATACTTAGTTTATGGCTTAGTTGTTGTTTTTTGTTTTGTGCCTTTGGGTTAGTTTTTACTCCTGGCAATTGACTGGACTACAGTCCCTGTGGTATTTTGGCAGTGTTTTCTGAAATGATTTTCAACTCCCTGCTTCTTAGGAATGAGTATGTGTGACTGGACCAAAGTCATGGTCCCCAGTTTCTAGCCTAATGCCTTAACTACTACACCAAACTGGCACTATACTATTCACAAAGTGTCATATACACCCAGGAAAATGGATTGATACATTTATGTTATGTGTTATGTCAAGCACTGATTGTAATATTAACATTTTCTGTGTATGTTCTTCGTGTGGAATCCTTCTGGAATGTATAGTGAGAAGACAGCCTAAGCATCAGTCTACATTATATTTTGGAGATATCTTTGTGGATAGCACACCTACACCTTAAAACGCAAGTTACCTGACTTCTGGACAGTTATTTACAATCTTTGAACAACAGTATATGTATATTCTGTACATTTTAAAATTTATTTTACTTTATTTATAAACAACGCAAAGCAACAAACTTATCTAATGCTCTTTTATCCTCTTATTGTCCCCAAAACAGCAATACTTTGAAGTGGGCTGGGCTAAGAAAGAGCAATTGGCCCAAAGTCACTAGCTTTCATGCCTAAAAAGAGAACTAGAACTCCCAGTCTCCCAGTTTCTATTTCGATGCCCTCGCCATCTAGACAAAACTGGCTCTATGCCAGGGATAGCCAACCTGATATACTTCAAGTGATTTTTGACTTCAATTCTCCTCAGTTCATGCCAGCATGGTTGGTAAGGATCTGTGGGAGTGGTATTTCAAAGTATCTGGAAGATTTCCTGATTCTGCTTTAATGGATGATGTTTGGGGATCCATTTGATAGTTGCTCTTCCTAAACTTTTCCATTGCTAATTCCTCCATCCCACTTTATTTCTGCCCCATCTTTATTCTTAAGCACATAAAACAACAGGAGTTATAGCTGCCAATCTAGAGTCTAGCAGCAGGCACCTGCTTAAAATTCAATAGGACATGCTATGGAAAAGTGCCTAAACCTGGGAAACAAAACAAGACATTATTATAGTATAAATGTCCTCCACTCCTTCTATGTGAAAAGAGGATTCATAATGGAAGCAGCTAATTCTGGTCCCTATCAGAGCAATTATCTCCAAGCAAAACAAACCAGAGGAAGCAGAAGAGGAGATAAATTGGCAATATGCTGGATTTATTTATTTAATTTGGAGGACAGGAGGGATTTTGTTTTGCACCCAGGATATATATTCAGATGAAAAATCTTTTTTTTTTCCCCAGGGAGGAAAGAAAACACCACAGGGAGAACTTCCGAAAGTTCCTTTAAACTGACTAATCAGTACAGGTAGTCCTCAACTTACAACCACAATAGAGCCCAAAATGTCCATTGTGAAGTGAGTAGTGAGACTTGTTAAGTGAGTTTTGCCCCACTTTATGACTTTTCTTGCCACAGCTGTTAAGAGAATCCCTGCAGTGGTTAAGTTGATAACCTGGTTGTTAAGTGAATCCAGCTTCCCCATTGACTTTGCTCATCAGAAGGTGTTCACACGATTCCAGACACGCAACCTTTATGAATATGAACCAGTGGCCAAGCATCCAGAGTTTGGTCGTGTGATCATGGATGCTACGTGTGAAAACCCTTTTTCCCCCCAGTGACTTTGTAACTTCCAACGGCCACCAAACGAACTGCTGTTAAGTCGAGGACTACCTGTGTACATAAACATCTCCGATTCAGGGAGAGGCGCTTCTCTCCGGCTCTCCTGCGGGAAATGGCCGCTCACCTTTTTAATATTGGACTTGGAGGCGGGGTGGAAGTCCTTTTTGCACATGAAGTTGGCGAATGACTTCCCCATGGTGGCGAGGAGGCGGCGGCCGCCGCGGGCTCGGAGAAAGAGAAAACGGCGGCCCTTTTTACGTTGCAACGGTGCTTGTTGGCTTCCTCCGCCCCGCTTCTGTTTACTTCACCCGGCCCAATTCCGGCTTTGACCCGGCGCTTCCGGGGCGAGATCTGCAGCAGAGGCGACGTTTTCTGCAAGCCGGAGGAGGCCGGGAAGTCGCCCTGCGGCCCGGCTAGCAGGATTGGACGCCGCCGACTGAGAGGGCGGAAAAAGCATCAGCGCGGCGCCTGCTCCGCGCAAGGCAAAGGCGGGGACGCCAGGCCGACTGGTGGATCTGACGTAAGGCTTTGCGTGGCGCTGCCAGTTTCCCCGTTATAAGTAAGAACCCCGGGGGGGAAAAAAAATAAACGCCTGCCCGACCTGAAATAGAAATAGCAGTGAGCAGATTTGGAACAGAAAACACATTTGAGCCATTTGACGCAATGTGGACTCAGCAGAGAAAAAAAAGAAATCGCTTGCTAGCTTGGTGTGACCTGTTGTTGCCTGTTGTTGCTTTGGCATTTTGCAAATCTTAGCAAAGTTTTAAAACTACACCTTGTGCGCCTTCGGGTTTGTTTCCGGCTTTGGCTCTGGGGGAAGGTCTGGGTGGCTTTAGCTCTGTCGCGCAAACTAGCAGGGTCTGGTTTACACATGTAAAGCCATAAAACCGGGCTCGGCAAGCCAGTATGGTTAAGTGGGGAACCGATGCCCGGGTGGCGTGAACATGGAGATAAGAGCCATATATTATAGCTTTTTGTCTCCGTGTTAAGGTTCACGCTATCCGGGCATCGGTTCCCCCTTAACAAATCTAGAGCCTCAGCCGAGTGAGTAAGTGGTGGAGTTGCTGTTTGGAAAATAAATCTTCCCCCCTTGATCTTCCACCAGCCCAGTTCTGAAAAGCATCCAGATTGGGAATAGCTACCTCCTTGCTATGTTTGGGACTAACTTGTGCTAGTGGAGAATCTGGATGGAGTTGCCTATTCTGTCTTTCTGACAGCCCTTGATTTAGCCTGACAGCGTTTCCCTTTCTTCCTTCCCCCTTCTGGTTTCTTACCTGCAGTGCAGTTCTCACTTGATAAGCTCCTCCTGTCTACTCCATTAAAAAAAAATATCCTACCTGTTTTATATACAAGGTAGGAAACATAAAACTTCCTTGGATGTCCAATCACACTTGGCCAATAAAGAATTATATTCTATAACAATACTCCCTCGTCCTATTTCCCCCACAACAACAAAGCTGCAAGATGAGTTAGGCTGAAAGAAAGTGACTGGCCCAAAGTTAGTCAATTGGTTTTTCATGCCCAAGGAAGGACTAGAACTCACAGTCTGCTGGTTTCTAAGTCAGCATCTTAACCACTTAACCAAACTGACTTTCATATACAGTATTTACTTATTCATTTATATGTCTGGCATCTGATCTAAAAAAAAAAAAAAAAAGCTGGATTCATGCAGCCTATTTTGTAATTGGTTGGACGGTGGATGTTTTTAAAAGATATAAATTTCTCCAGGTCTCTAGGTCATTATTTGTGAGCATGCTGGCTGGGAATTCTGGGAATCGAAATCTACATACCTTAAAAGCTGTTAAAAGTTGAGAAACACTGATCTAGTCACACATAGCTCTGCTCAATAATTTATTTTAGTCCATATATAAGAGAATTTTTACAGGGGCATGTGTGACCTTGGGCAATGTCCTATATTTTTCCTAAAGTATTTGTTAATAAAATATCAATATCTATTAGAATACAATAGTGGTTCATCCGTTATGGAGCATTCAGAGAGATATGATTGTTTATTATTTTTTTCAGGATGGCTAACAGTATTGCTGAACCCTTTTCCTGTGATACTTTTGTGGCTCTGCCTCCAGCCACACTAGATGGCCGAATCATTTTTGGAAAAAATTCTGATAGGCCTTCTGATGAAGTCCAGGAGATTGTGTTTTTTCCTGCTGCTGATCATGATCCAGGACAAAAAGTTGAGGTAAGAGCAATATTTCTAAAAATATCAGAAAAACCTGTTGGGAAGTTTTATGATATTTTTATTTTAAATCTAAACTTAAAAAGATAAAATAAACACATTTATATCCAAAATTGTGTAATTGTATAGCTTGCCTGCATAGGTATCTACATGGAATTGGAATGATGCATTGCAGTTTTTAATGCAAACGACCCATAAACTTGCAGTCAAATCTGGATATAAGTACAAAAGAGAGAGAAAGTGAGAGATTTATTTTGTGATGTCACAGTATATCTTATATCATTTTTGCCTCATTGCAGTCTAGTAGACACCTTTTCCGGATTGAAATTGTAAACCAAGAATGGAAGTTGCCCAGCCATCAAAATCTGGCTTATTCCAAGTCTGATCATTGGAGAATACAAATTAGCTGTCAGGTTTTGGCTCAAGGTTGAATTAACATTCGTGTGATTTGTCTGATTTTGGGTTTTGTGTATTCTGCACACTCAGCCCTTACAATGCATAAACTGTGGTTTATGATTTAATTCATTATTTAATCCAAGCCAATTGTAATCCCAATCATGATTAAGCAAACAATGGCTTAGCACAATGTGTATGATTCTAGTTACTATTATTTGCATCAAATGGTAATAGTTCTCCATAATTCCAGGCATCATTCTTTCCTAGTTCTGTGGTATTTTAAGAACTTTTGCAAGCAAATACATTATTTAATCCTTTTCATCAATATTTGATTTGGTATAGAGGGTCAGAAAATCTAAATTTGAATGGTTTTTCTCTTTATCTTGCACAATGAAAGAGACAACTCAAGGTCATTCCAACAAAATATATTCTCTATCTTAGAATATTTAGAATACATTTTAGGATATAGGCTGGTAAAACAAGGACCCAGATTGTTGATGGTAATATGCTAACATTGTAAACTGCTTAGGGCTGTAAAGCACTATGAAGTGGTATATAAGTTTAAGTGCTATTGCTATAGCCACTTATCCTGAATTTAAAGGTAAAATATTGCATGAAGATAGTTCTGTTGAATTTAGATATAGTTTTCATAAGAAAAATCATTTTAAACGCAGGGTTTGAGCCCATCAGTTGCTACATTGAGACAATACACACAGATTTGTGTGGGCATTTTTGCTCTTGTTGCCTTCCACTGGAACTCTAAATTCCAGGGCCTCATTTTGTTCAAAAGAATATCATAATTCCAGTGAGAGGTTTGAGGGCCCCACAGCACTATGATAAAAGCTCAGGGAAGTACTGAATCTGTTATATGTAATTTTTAAATAATCTGTAAAATATCTTTGAAATTATCATTATTGCAGTGTACTTATATAGAAATTGAACAAGTACCCCAAACCTATGCAGTTGTCCTGAGCCGTCCATCCTGGCTATGGGGTGCTGAAATGGGAGCCAATGAATGTGGAGTCTGCATTGGGAATGAAGCCGTATGGGGAAAAGAAGAAGTCTGCGATGATGAAGCTCTCCTTGGCATGGACCTTGTCAGGTTGTTATTAAGTCTGTTGGATAAGATGTGAAACCAAGTGGAAACTAATCGGTTGTTTTATACTTGCAGAGCTTTGTCAAACAGCTTTGTCTCTGGAAAATACTGTATGAAATGGAAAATAAACAACTCTGATATTTGATCTGGAGCAGGGGTGTCAAACTCGATTTCATTGTGAGCCGCATCAGGGTTGTGATTGACCTCGGGGGGGGATGGGGGCGTGGCCAGGGTAGGCCTGATGTCACTTGTGTTGGCCCGAGCGCTCTGCCAGTGAAAAGGAGCTCCGTTTTCACTGGCAGAGGGTTGCAGGAGGCTGGCAGCAGGTGAAAATGGAGCTCAGGAGGGATGTGTACGGCCCTCTTGAGTTCTGTTTTTTGCTAGCAGAGGCACCCTGAGCTGGCCTTTCGCTGTTTCCAGGGCGGCCTCATGGGCCAGATCTAAGCACCCCACAGGCCAGATCCAGGCCGCGGGCCTTGAGTTTGACACCTCTGATCTGGAGAGTTTATGCTTAAATGGGGGCTTAATGCAGAACGATGCTGCTAAAATAAAAAATGGAAACATAAGCTTTTGAAGGAATTACTTTAGCCTGCTCCAGAAACTATGAAAGGTACAAGATACTACAGGTAGTTACTGAGCCACAACCCTTCGTTTCATGACCACTTGAAGTTATGACAGTGCTGAAAAAAGTGACTTGCTACCATTTCTCACATTTGCAACCTTCATAAGGGTCTCATAGTCACATGATCAAAATTTGGGCACTTAGCAATCAGAATGTATTTCTGCAGTTGCAGCATCCTGGGGTCACATGATCAACATTTGTTACTTTCCTAGGTACTTCTGGCAAGCAAAGTCAATGGGGGAAGTTGGATTTACTTAATAGTCGCAGTGATTTGCTTAACAACTACAACAAAAAAGGTGGAAAAATCAGCCATGATTCACTTAATGGCTACATCACTTAGCAACAGAAGTTCCACTCTTAAGTGTGGTCCTAAGTCAAGGATTACTTGTAGTTCATAAAATCTGATTTTCCTACGGACAGCCTGCCAGTTCGAGGATGTCCATAGGAGAGTTTTGCATGCACAAACAGACAAATGGCACCTGTGTCGTTGCAGTTTTGTAGTTACTAGAATGTTGTGTAGATGCGAGTGATCGTTTTCATCCCAAAAACTTTTGTTTTAAGGTTCTCAGCATGAGCCCAGATGGAGAAATAAATGAGCCTGTTCAAATTCTGTCTTTTAAAGTTGAAGATGAAGAATGTTACAGAAAGCTAAACGCTTTGATTTGATTTTAGGCTTGGACTTGAAAGAGCAGATACTGCAGAAAAAGCTGTCGATATTATCGTTGAATTGTTGGACAAGTATAATCAAGGTGGAAACTGTATGGAGAGTGAAATGACATTTACCTACCATAACAGCTTTTTGATAGCAGACAGAAAAGAAGCTTGGATTCTGGAAACATCTGGAAAGTTCTGGGCTGCAGAGAAAGTAAAAGGTATGAATAATAACCTTTATTCAATTTTAAGACGTCTCAGTGGACAATGTCTGTCTATCATATTTATCAATCATCTGTCTACCTATCATCTAATCTATCATCTCTCTGTCTCTCTCTATTCAGCAGTGCTATACTGGTAAAAATGATGTCACTGATGCTATTACAGTTTTTACAGAAAGCCTGTTACAATCTGTGGATTCTTTGCCAGCTGAATCTTTAAAAGTAAAAAGCAGCTATAATCCTCATTTAAGCCTGAAAGGCTTCTGGGGCAATTTACAACCCTCTCTTCAGATTTCTTCAGCACTGAGGAAAAAGAGAATGGGCGGGGAAAGGAAAGCATTTTAGAAATGATTCTTCCTACAGACGTACTCCAACATGCTTCATCCTCGTCTGTTAAAAAAAATTAAATTGGTGAACAGTTATAATGAAAAATCTTAGCATTATATTAAAAACTGGTATACATTTCAGTTGCCAAGACCTGGCTGCTCTCTTCCTGTCATGTGCTTTATTTCTCTTTTCCAGTCATAGAATTGAGTTAGTGCTAATGCTTAAATTGATACTTGTTGGTTATTTACAGTTTTAGCTGTGAGGAAAAGTCTAGTTTATAATTGGCCCAATGTGTTTATTACGGCCAAATATAATTATTGCAAATGAGGAAGGAGTGAGTCAAGAAGCGGTCAACATTCATATTGTGAGATTTAGTTTCTTTCCAAATTTCTAACAGTAAATTTAGACATCTCAGTTTAATAATTTTTAAGTAGGTCAGTTCAGGGCAGAAACATTTAGAATGGTAATAGCTTGTTTTCTTCTCCTTTTTAAACAGAAGGAACACGGAATATTTCCAACCAGCTATCAATCACAACAAAAATTGACCGTGAACATCCAGAGCTAAGGAATTATGCTCTAAGCAAAGGCTGGTGGGATGGTAAAGAAGTATTTGATTTTGCTGCCATGTACTCATATTTAAATACTGCCAGAATGACGACTGCAAGTGGCAGATATTGTGAAGGCTATAAACTACTGAAGAAATATGCAGGTAACTTTGTTAAGTTATAGAAGACCTTATAGTTGGATTTCATAGTTGGATTTGGATGTACTGTTTTATGAGATTCAAAATATTATTTTTTTACCTGAAAAAAAAACAGGATAAATATCTATTGTTAGATCTGAGGTAGATCGGGTCGAAGGAGACGCGAGACCATTCTAGTGAGTTCAGCTCTTTATTTAGAATAGGAATAGTCTGAGGGAATGCAAGCCGCGGCAGCCCTTCATATAGGGCTGGCTCGCGGCTCGGCGGCCAATGGCAGCACTTTGAATCTCCCGCGATCGGCACAGCCAATCGCGGTAGATTCTTAGCGCTCCAATCACGGCCGGGGTTTCGACCAATCAGGTCGCTGTCCGTCTGGACCAATCGGTTGCGAGGGTTTGGAGTATGCTAATACAGCACACCCCTCCCCTCTTGGTTTCGTCTGTCGGTGCGTCGTGACATAGTCGCGCAGGTAGGCGGGGCTTCGTACCTGCCTAGTTGACCTGCGCAGCTCAGTTCTCGTTTGGTTGTCGACCGGTTCGGAGGCCTTCTCTGTGGGGTGGATCCCTTGTTTGTCTAGGAGGTACCCTAGGAATTCGACTCTCTCAGCCTGCAGCTGGCACTTCCCTTTCTTGACTTTGAGCCCCGAGTCTCTGAATTTCTTCAGTACCTCCCTCAACCAGGCTTCTAGTTGCTTTTCGTTTCTCGCGGCCACTAAGACGTTGTCAAAATAGGGCACCACCCCCTCTATGCCCTGGAGGAGTCTTTCCATGAGGCTTTGGAAGACCCCGGGTGCCACGCTGACTCTGAACTGGAGCCGGTTGCAACGGAAAGCCCCCCGGTGCGTTACGATGGTCTGGGCTTCGGCGGTTGCGGCGTCGACTGGCAGTTGCTGGTAGGCTTGCGCCAGGTCGAGTTTGGCAAAGATCCGGCCTCCCCCCAGCGAGTGCAGAAGGTGCTGCACTACTGGGACGGGGTATGCGCTTTGCTGGAGCACGTGGTTTAGGGTGGCCTTATAGTCCCCACAAATTCTCACGGACCCATCTGGCTTGATGGGGGTGACTATGGAGGTCTCCCACCTGGCATGATTGATTGGCTCCAGTACCCCTTGCGCGATTAGCTTATCTAGCTGCTCATCGATCTTGGGCTTGAGTGCAAATGGCACTCGTCTGGGCTTAAGGCGGATTGGTGCGATGCTCGGGTCTATATTAAAAGAGATAGGGGACCCCCGGTACTTGCCTAGGCTGTCGTTGAAAACTTCCCGGAAGTCCTCCACGAGCGCTGCTTCCCAGTCCGACTCTGCGGTACGGTGGATTCCGGTTACTTCAATGCCTAGGGGTGCGAACCACTGTAATCCCAACAGGCTCGGCCGATCCCGGTCGACGATGGTCAGGGGTAGCACTTCGGTGTGGTTCTTGAAGGTGACTTTAAAATGGCCTCTGCCAACTACAGGGATGCGGTTTCCCTGGTAGTCTTTGAGGGTTAGTGTTTGGTCTTCTAATTCTTTGCGGCGGATGGAGGGAACCAGGCGCTTGATGGTGTGCCATGATACCATGGAGAGGGAGGACCCAGAGTCCACCTCCATGTCGCATGGATGGTCTTCTATCCCCACTGTCACCTATACCTTTCTGGCGTCTCTTGTGGAGGAATGGCCGACGATGACGGTCTGGTGCGTTTCCTCCCTTTGCCTTGCCTCGTTGAGCCGCCTGTTCCGACCTTCTTGGCTCCAGCGACTCTCCGTCTGGCGGTCTCGGTATCTGGTGGGGGTGTTCTCTTGCCTCCGAGGGCTGCCATCTCGTCGCCGCGGCCTGTAGTGTCTTTTATTTCTGCACACCTTGGCGATGTGCCCCCGTTTCTCGCACTGTCGGCAAACGGCATCGAGGAACCGGCAGTCTGAACGGGGGTGATCGCCTCCACAGCCAGTGCACTGGAACCTCGACTTACGACCTTGGGGTTCCCGTCGCCCTCGTGCTGCTTGCAGGCGGTGGATTTCCTCTTCCTCGTCCTCGGTTCCTGAGAAGGAGTCAATGTCGCCGTGGTGCGTGGTTGCGTCCTGGTGGTCGATCTCGGGTCGCTTTTCGGGGTTTGGTGTTGTCTCGCCGGTCGCTGCTCGTGGCGTGATGCTCGATTGCCGTATCCGAGCCACTGATTTCTTGGCCGCTTCAGCCGCGGCTACCTCTGTGAGCGCATCGGCGAGGGAGATGTCGCCCTTCGCCATGATGCGGCTCTGGAGAATGGGGTCTCGGAGTCCCAGGACGACGCGGTCTCGCAGGGCCTCGTCCAGGTCGGCGAACTCGCACAGGCCGCCCAAGTCTCGTAGTGCTGCTATGAAGTCGCCAAGCCCCTCGCCCTCGCGCTGGTCCCGCCTGTAGAATTCGTGCTGCCGGATGAGGATGGGCACGACGGGGGCGTAGTGGCTTCGTAGCAGGGGCTCGAGGTCGCCCCACTCCATGGTCTTGACGTCCTCCGGTTTGGCCAAGGCTTTGGCCATCTTAAACACCGCCGGCCCGCAGTGTGCGAGGAATACGGCCCGTTTCTTGTGGCCGTTGCCATCTTTAAGATTGCTACACTCGAGGAACATCTGGAACCTATCGGTATAGGATTCCCAGTCCTCGGTAGCGGGATTGAAGGGTGCGGGTGGTGAGTTGATGCCGGCCATTCTGCTTGCTGCTGTGTGGCGCCTCACCACGTGCTGGGTGGTCTCTTTGTCTCACGATCCCATCCTCGTCGCCAGTGTTAGATCTGAGGTAGATCGGTTCGAAGGAGACGCGAGACCATTCTAGTGAGTTCAGCTCTTTATTTAG